TGTGTGATATAGAAGGCTTAAATTGTCTTGAGGCAGCCCGGGGAAACTCGGAAAGACATGAATTTTATACAGCCTTTGCGGAACATGCTGCAGATACAATGCTTGAAGCAGTTAAGTATACGGAAGATAAACAGGAGTTAAACAACCTCAGTTCACTTGAATGCTGTGTCGATGGAAGTATGATTTGGGATGTTGTTGTCGGCCAATCTTTCAGAGATAAAAATGAAGTGATCAAGCTGCTCAACCACCATGCAATAACAAACCAATATCAGTTCAAAGTGGAGAAGTCTTGTCCAAAGCAATACTACGTGAAGTGCATATGTACGGATTGCAAATGGTACGTTAAAGCGTCAAGGGTAGAAAATTCCAACATTTTCAAGATTCGGGGTGTTGGGGGCGACCATTCATGTCCATTTGAGATACGTACAAGTGGTCAACGACAGGCTACATCCAACATTGTAAGTGGGTTTATTCGATCGAGATTCACAAATTTGAAGACAACTTATGTTCCAGGGGACATAATACACGACATGCAAGTTCAACATGGAATAGAGTTGTCTTACCAGAAGGCATGGCGGTCAAAAAGAAAAGCTATGGACGAAGTGCGAGGTAATCCAGACATGTCTTATGGTAAAATAAACGAGTACTTGCAAAAAGTTTGTGAATCGAATCCAAATAGTGTTGTGAAATTGTCTGCCACCTCGGACCAGCACTTCATGTACGTATTCATGTGTCTTAATGCTTCAATTAAAGGTTGGAATCATTGTAGACCTATTATTGTTGTCGATGGGACTTTTCTTAGTTCGACTTATGGAGGGATATTGCTTACAGCATGTTGTCAAGATGCCAACTCCCATATACTTCCATTGGCATTCTGTATTGTTGATTCTGAGAATAATGATTCGTACACATGGTTCTTTACAAAGTTGAGGGAAGTACTGACTGTCCGGGAAGGTTTATGCATTGTCTCTGATAGACATGGAAGTATAAAACATGCAGTTGCAAAGGTATACCTATGATATCGTAGATATATATACGTAAAATATACAGTAAGTAAACAAACTCATATGTTGTAATGTTACTGTTAAGTCATTTAAATACATTTCGGTTATAATGCAGGTATATCCAGAGGCTGCACACTGTTTATGTGCCTATCATTTATCGAACAACTTTCGGACACACTTCAAGAAGGAACCAAGCGCTGTTAATGATGCCTTTAATGCAGCTGCGAGGGCATACACTATTGATGAGTATAATCATCATATGGCGGAGATAAATCAACTTGATCCTCGAGTACCCCCGTGGCTGGAGAAAATTGGAATACAAAAATGGGCAAGGATTCATTGTCCAAGAAACAAGTATTTTACGATGACGTCCAATGCGGCAGAAGCAATTAACTCAGCCACGAGGGAGATACGTGACTTACCGATAACAACACTTTTGGAGTCATTGAGATCTTTACAACAAAAGTGGAATGTTGCTAATAGAGATGAAGCAGCATCGACCTTTACCACGTTAGCAAAGAAGGCTCACAAGACGCTCGAAAACAATTATAAAGTAGTTGCCAGTTTTCGGTGAGACACATTAAATTATATAACATGATGTATATATATACACATTTATATATAAATATGTATACATACCATTTAGTACCCGATGTATCATTCGAAAACTTGCTTCAATTTTTTTTTTTCTTTTAGATACAAAAGGCAAGCGACAAAGTGTTTAAGGTGTCATCCGACAAAAGTGGATTTGTAGTAGATTTGGAGACGAAGTCTTGCACATGCAATCGTTTCCAGA